CTATATTCACCGCTCTTCCTACTGTTTGAAAATTTATTGTCCACGCCCAGATTCAAATCTAGATCATCTCTATGTCAATCCGCTTAGTAAGCAAACCACTTCACTGTTGCGACAAATCTATTGAGATAATTTCAATACATATAGTAATCACTGTCCCTTGACTGGTTTACGTAACTCCTACGTTCCATACTCGGATCATTAAAAACGACCATGACACCCGGTTCTTCGCCTTGGCAACACCACGTTATGGTAGGCATTTTGGTGGAACTTGAAAGTTCGGAAACTTCTCAACAAGCAGTGGCGTTGATTACATCTTCGGTGGAAAAATCTTTGCACTCTTCAATTATCAAGCAATTGTCTCTGAAGGAAATGTACACCTACTCCGGCGTATTATATACAGGACATACAGCTCGTCCAATGAATAAGAATACAAGCGGGCATTGATGCGCAACCATCATATCACGCTGCCTATACGCTGCTCGATGCAATAGTTCCTACGCTGACTCACAGTTTTGATTAAAAGATACCATAATTCGACTAAAGTTGTCTCCATAATTCCTTACTAGTCTTAGACACGTTTGGAAGTTATCCGATAAATCAATTTCGCGTAGGGCAAACGGGTGACAACTCTCAATAAGGTTCCAACTAGGACTGTGTCTTCATGACTAGTTGGACAGAAGGATATCAATTTTTCAATAAAAAGGCCTTCTACGCATTCGGCGTACCAGCTTTCCTTTAGGTTATATGTGTGCGTATATATTAGCAAATATTTGAGGCAGGATCGGTCAATATCATTTAAAGCAACCTGATTGTTTATGCTGAAGATCGAAACTATCTTCCGCCCAGCGTATCTTTAGTAGATTTTTACCTAGAAGAACATATTTCTTCTCAGTAACTTAAATTTCATAAAAACAAGACAAATATTACGCAGTGCGTCATATTCACTTGAAGACTAGCTTTTATGTTCCCGCTTACATCGCCATATTGACACCATTAACCCCATATAGTCAGTCTTCCTCCAACTCCTTACATTTTTCAATCAACTCGTTCCACTGACGCATTTTCAAATATCACGCCGTATTGTCTCTAGCGGCAGTGACAGTCACTTCACGGTTTTCTCTGTCAGACAAAAACGCTATTTTTTACGTCTACGAACGTTAATATGTATCGCGTAAATGGGGCGAAGATTCTTCTTTTATTGTCGCAATGACACTCGTCGCCATTGGCTCGCTAATAGTGTGCGACAGGCGACACTGCCCTGCATTGAGGCACAGTTATTATTTGTTTATCACTTTCTTTGAACTGGCTGCTTCTTCAGCCCTATTTGCCGCCGTTGCACGGTCCACCATCACCGTTACTGCCGCATCCCCCATGTCGAAACGAGGAAACAATCGTTTAGGGAAGAAGTATCTGGCCACAGGCTTTGTCGCGCCTTCTACCATCAGCCGTATGCAGCACAACAAATAACGTTTCACCGAAGAGCCGGTCATAGTGGTAGCCTGTGATCCACTTTTGTTTTGTGACCTGTTGTTACTATGCAAAAACCGGCAAAGAAACTTTGCAGGCCTGCACTGTTTTCGAACCCAACTCGCTATTGCTGCTGACTCCATATGGGTGTCGTTGCGCGCTAGCGTTCGAAGTTATTCTGAGAATCGGAGAAGGAAAGAGGGATAAGTGAATGACGGACGCCGCTCGTTGGTGCTAACAGAACTACCAAAGGTACTGAAAGCCCCTACTTTCGACAGTCCTGGACCCCAGTTGAAACACAATCTAATATATACTCGAATGTGCACCAATTATTTGTTTGTAATACTATTTGCGAGCGTGACGCTGGCTTTTTTCACTCGGAAAAAGACTTGTGTTAGTAAAATAAACAATCAATCCTATATCGTATATGTAATTGACGTGAATCTCGCTAGAAGTGAAAAGGTGTGAAGTTCTACAGATTTTTCAATATGTATGTAACTTGAAAATAGGAAATCTATCACAGGTGAGATTTTGATCTGTGAACGATGTTAACGGCTTACACCTGGCGGAGTACCTGAACACGCTTATTTAACATGTAAAGCCATAGAGGCCTTACGAGAATCGAATCTTGAGACTGCTCTAAGACTCATTATCCACATTTCTGGATAACTAAGGACCTCTATACAATTTCATCTAGTGAGCCACGGAAACAGACATAATAGAAAAAAAAAAATTAGTGCCTGCGTTCAACGCGGGGGAAAGCCAAATTCATAGCTTAACAAATTAACTCAATTCACCTTTTCTGCTCACGATTAACAGAAGAAAAAAGTAGCAAGCTTTTTATAGCCACAACTATAAGCCAAACATAAATCAAATTGGACGCATTCTCATCAGGGTTCATGTGTTTTCTGCTGTTACTCTGCCATAAAACCGATTTTAGCATAGTTCATCGCGCTGCAATATCTTGCCAACCGTTTTTTCTTAATAATGTAGCGGTACGGAAGCTTTACATGAAAGAGTGTGCCGCTGGAAAGATCATAGGTATAGCTTGCGTAGCTAAGCTTTAGACGCGAATGACCACATAACCGTTACTAAAATTTTAGTATAGCCAGCTGTGCCTACTCTTCAGTTTTCTGTCATAATAAAGCAGGCATTGAATAACTCTTTTTTTTTTTTTGATTGATTGCCACCTATTATTATTCTTGTTATATGTTATATGATTAGTGATGTAAGCGCGATCTTTAATCATCAAATGCGCAAAGACGCGCACTTGCAGTGAGCGACGCCTTTCTGAGTGAATACCGTTAACCCACATTCGTGACATTTGTAACAGCTGCCGAAAATAGGTGCAAATATTCTTGCGGGAAAACACGTCATCATATACTGTTTCGATAAAGCAACTACCATATCTTCGAAGATTTTCACTGAATACACAGTGACAGAAGGCAGATATTGAACAAAGTATCAGCACTCGCAAAGCCTTCACAATAACGGTCTACCGCCCAACCCGAGTCTGTTTTAGCAGAGCGCGCACAGCCCATCATACGGTTTGACAAATATTTCATAACACGTTCGACACTATTCAAAGTGTCGTGTCAGAAAACTGCCAACTGTGCATCTTTCTTAACCAGCTTAATGTTAACTATAAGATGAAGACTGTTATGCAACGGCGGCCGGCGAATAATTTCGAAAAACTGTGCTGATCTACATTGGCTGATTGATGATGATCGTTACTCTCAGATTCCGTTTTCTACGCAATATTGACAACTTTGAACGCCTACCTTTAGCTTGACTAATAGATTTGCTGAAAGCTTTCAGTGAAACTTCAGTACGATGACGCAAGCGCTGTCTGCGTACAAAAATGCGAGGGAAAACTTTCGATAGATGAATTGATGATGATTTGCTTTGCTGTGTAGTCATTCGTACAGCCGTTTGTGCGTTTTTTTCCTTTAGGGACGTTTATTCCTACAGGGATTCGACAATCATATGCTCTAGTTTGTCGAGCTTTCTCGGTCTTTGGAGGACAACAGCGTTGCCGGAAAGCCGCGGCCAAGTGGACGAACGCTTATCGACCATTTTTAATATATGCGCCATGCTTTTACAGTGTCGGATGGACCCAAAATACACAAACGTTCATAAACATTTACGACAACTCAAATTTATTATATATATATATATATATATATATATATATATAGACTGTGCGAGGCATATGCTTTACCTGACGCGTTCGTTATCATAATAGTCGCAGCAAAATATCGAACCGTTCACCGGCGTCGTCTATATGAAACTTGCAAAACATCAACAGAGAGAGCGTTCTGACACGATTTGCGTACAATAGACATAGACAACACAGATAGATGGCTCCACGGCGACCAATCAATGGCGTCACCGCGGTAAGACGATAAACCCCGTGCTTTAGCAATTGTGTGTCCGTATATGTGAGCCCATGTCTAGCAAATTTTTCACGGCGATGAAAAATTAGGGGAGGCACGTATCCGTGTCCGACCATTTTTTATTATTTTACACAATACGGGGGGATCTTGAGTATTTCTAAGAAGACATAGTGGAGTAGAGATTGCGACATGATTGCCACCCACAACAGCGATCTGCTCTAAACTGCTTTTTTTCGAGGTCTTCATCTAACACAGTTACGGAATTGTGGCACACATGGAGTATGACAGAATGTCTATGCCAAACAACCTTAATTGCCCACCAAAAAGATTGTGGTTGAGCGATGCGTGAGAACTCATAGAGCCGCTGAGGGAGGACTGGCGCTACCGTACCCCCAGCGGGGCAATCTCACACTGGCTCATGCACGTGGCGCGCGTAAAGTAAGCGAACCTTGTATGTCTCCAGGCTACTGATTAAAGGGTACAAAGGTATGATAAACTTTCAGCCGCGAGCGCTTGCAGTAAGCACGGACAATGAGACGACAATAGGACGTTCACGTCAGAAATTCGTTAGAATGGCCATAATGTCAATTCGCTAACTGGTTTGTTTGATGTTCGGTGAATGGAAACAATTGTTCAGGGCAGAAGTAAAACAGCTAGCCGGTTACCTTTCCTGTATGCTGCAAAATATTTGAAGTTAGTCATTATTACGGTGTGATATAATTCCGGAATGACACAAAGAATGAAACGTTATTTTTCGGTAAGTATTAAATAGAGGATTTGAACATGTTCAAGATGTTGATTTAACCGCAATGCGTATAATACGAAGATGCATGTAGAACAATAATCGGTAACTGGAGCTAAGGATTTTTCTAAATTCAACCGGCCTCTTAGCACTCACCTCCGACTGTACATACATACGGAGGCCCTCTATGTTCCTCCTAAAATCCTGAAGAAATTGGAATGGAACCATATGTATTATATGTCGTACGACGCTTTTGTTATAGCCTATCTTTGTGTACTCGTTTCATGCGGTCTCAGAATGCGTCCCAACAATCTAATTTTAAACAGCAGGATTGTGTAAATGTTACGCAGTATTGAATATTTCCTGAAGTTGGTATTTTGTTTTCCTGTTTTCAGGCACTTCGAAAGTTCTCACCACAATCATCGACGGCGAAGCGCTGCTTAATGATGGCTCGGCAATCGTCATCTATGAAGTCCTTCTTGCGATGCTCATACCAGGAAATGAAATGAACGGTTCGTACAATGGGACTGTTACACATTAGTGGCTCATTTTATACTCCCACTTCGATTAGAATCTTGATAATGCGAGCTAAAAGAGTAACTTCTATGCATTAAATTTAATTTCAACGATTGTGGTTGATTTCGCATCAGCACGCAGGCAAGCCCGCTTTCGCAGCGTGTCCTACCCCTTGCTATAACGTCCTTCTCTATCATCTCGTGGTACGGTGGCCTACTTAAAGCCATTAGCTGACACAAGATGGCTCGGGCAAAGCAAGTCAATACCTAAAACGGAGTAAGAAGTTTATTATCTCAATTATACTTGTACAAGGTTTGAACCTCAAACCGTATTCACTGGACGACCTAAAAGAATAAAAATCCCGGGTTGTTTTTGAAACAGAAAATTTTTGCATTATTTTCACCTGACCTTTTCATTATTGTAATAATCGACTCTGCATTTTTTATTTAATTTTTTCCTAGAGTTTCTAAAAAGACTCTGATATGCGAGAGTTCGTATCATAGATATTGAACGTAGATTCGTAACGTGCATAAAAAGTGAATGATTCTTCTGCATGTTGCTTTTTGTTACAAAAGAAGTGTCCTATTTGTACCGATTTATGCTTGTCACAAACAAATTGGGTTTACCGCCACTCATCTCATTCGTAGTTGCGTCACGTGTGGGCCTGGTAGCGTATCTAAATGGAGAATGAGGTCTCTTTGCGGCGATTCAACATTATTTCTGAAGGAAAACTGCTCCAGCAGACTAAGACATCTTTGCCTACGTATATAAGGGGCTATACAAGAGTCAAAGCGAACATAGACAATTGTTCAAAGCGAAAAGGGCCATACAATTGTCTTGACACATTAGAAAATACATTCGTCAATGTTTGTGATAAAATTATATTACGTGTATAGAGGCGCCGCTTGGATTTAGAATGTCGTTGGTCGCAATAAAATTGGCAGTAAAAACGGAAATTGCGTCGGTAACATACGTGCACATCGGCCAACTGCAGTCACGGTTAACTTTTCGATTATGTAACTTCTACTTTTTTCTTTTTTTTTTTTTTTTTTTTGAAATTCGACAGCGATCGGCTGCAAGCCTTTTCCTTCTCTCGCTAGTCTTTTTTTTTGAATAACTTTTCTTCGTAGTGAGTAAGCACGATGTTGGACGATAGGGTTTCAGTCGCTGTCAATTATCCTACTCGTTTACCTGCTCGTTCAAGCGAAACTAGCGTGGGCAAATCTGATCCAATCTGAAATATTCTTTATCCGTAGACTTTCTAATTATACATTCTCAATGTAGCTGTTGAATAAGTTAGTCGAAGTCACGATACAACAAAATCGCTACATATAATTATATGATAGTTAGATGTAAGTGTAGAATTTGAGAACAGTCTGCATAGAATCATGGATAGATTTTTCATGTTCACTCAGAAAAACGCTGGCGTACGTATCGGGCAACAATATTATATGCTTGAAATTTCTATATCGAATACTACAAATTACTATCCGCTATTAACGTAGAGCTCTGGTCTCAGTAACACCTCTTCCTACTGAAAAGACCCGTAAATCGTTCCCGGAATTTGAAAATTTAGTTAGAGGAAAAATGTCCAAAAAGCCGTTTTTAGTTCACCTAGGTCTTCGATGGGAAAGGTAACAGCTGTCGTAGAAGCGAGAGTAGCAGCTGCCAATCGGGCGCTTCAAATAATCTATAACGATTAATCATTTTAAGTGGCTTGGCACTTTTTTTGGCCTTTGCATTTTTGGGCATCGATGCCTGCTATAAAGTTAAGCTTGAATTTTGTTAGATTTTTTTTTTTTGCTATGTAGCGTATTTGAGCGTCATTTTACCGGTCCTTAACTCATCCGTATCGCTTGAGGCAGACTTAGTATTGCAAAGAAGTTTGCGGATTGAAATGAAGACAACTGGCTCCTAATGGTAACAATTGCTTAGTCGTTTAGGCGAGAAGCGAAGCCGTAATCGAGTGAATCGTGATGATATTAAACAAACATAATTGTCACTAATTGCACCGTTAAAACATGCAAAGTACTTTTTTGCTATCTCATTTTGTTTTTAAAAACAGTCTCAGGAATGATACATAAGAAAATGTTTGCTTTTCAGCCCGTACTCTTTTGCTAACCTCTGCGTCAGTACTATGTTCAGTTATCGTTGTAGTTAAAGCGCTTTATAACTTGTTATCCACCGTGTCTGGTCATCTCCCACAATTGGAGTTTGCGGTTCGTCGAAGACGTCGCCGTTTGTGGGTCAAAAAGAAGCCCAATGAATCAGTTCAGAATCGCTGCCCAAAGGCAGTTCGTCTCGGTCTAGCACAGGTTCAGTCTATGTCAGTCCTTCGCTTCCTAAATAGTTACCGCATTCAAACGCATTTGAGAGCACGTCCTACTGGATGCTTCTGTCGATCGCCTTAGTTACTTCTATCAAAGCCAATCGTCCTACTTTTTCGCGCCTATAATTTTGTGTGATCTATGTATCCGTGCCGTCACATAATTATACCTATTATAACTTGTTCTCGAAGCTGTCACTGTTTGAAGCCTGTGTAAAACTTAAATGCCCACGTTGTAACGTATGCAGCTGCTGCTGCTGCTGGTGTCTGCCGACCGCTCGTTGCTATTATTGGCGCCGCTACTATATATGTGTGTGTATATATATATATATAATTCGAATGGATGAACGGGACGAAAAGGAAAAACAAACCAGTGCCATAACGAGCGTCGTCGGTGTATTCGAAAGTCGCTGTTGTGACCATGTACTACCACTCGAAATGTCATTGGCAGTACAGTTGTTAATAACGTTATTGTTCGAACGGCTCTTTTAGTGTGGATCGCATTGGCTCCGTGTGGGTTCGACCTTTTTACATGCGGCCAATCTTTTCCTTTCTCCTTCTGCTGTTACTGCAAACGCGACGGTGGCTGCATTTTTGCTGCTTTTGTTATTTGAGGCCTGTTATTGCAACGCACGAAGTTTTTGAGGTGTTATTAGAAGTCACTTGTTCGATCACATACCCCTCAACGCCCCGATTTCAGCGCGAGCGTCGTTACCACGACCAGTTTTGTTGGACATCTTGACCAATTCGTCCGTCCGTCAGCCGATTCCCTGATCCAATTCGATACATGCTAACATTGCTAATGATTAAAACTATTGTGCTTATGGGCATTGGCAACGTCGGAAAGCTTTACGGGATACACTTATTCCTGTCACGTGTCCTTTTATATTTGTGAGCCTAGAACGAATAATTGTGTTGAATAGGGGGTGTCTTCTATCGGAGCAGGCACAGCGGTGTCCTTTGATATCGAGCTATAATACACTTCTGTGTTTTGGCATCATCGACCTGGCCAATCCAAGGTATTCCTCAATTATTTTGCTATTCGTAATGCTAATTAATTACACTTAGCTTATTGTCAATGATGTTTACTATTGGTGCTTTTTGCTTTGGTACCGTTTGTTATTATGATGACCATTTGACGCTGAACGGTATAGGGGAAGCGGGCGTAGATACACACAAAACTATGCAGAGCGATCCGTTGTGTTTGTCGGCCAAACGCTTTATGTGGTCGTTTTCGATAGACTATGGTTTTCTCGGTAGGTCACATAGGCTAACGCAAATCGATTGATGCCAACTGATGTAGAGATAAAAATTAAATAATAAGTTATGTACATTGTCGATACACAGGGTGCGCTATGTTTGGGGCTCGACGAAGAGCGCGATTGGTACGCGTATTTCTATGTAAGCCACGCATTGCGCCACGCACAATTGATAGTACATAGCGGCCTATACAGATCGAAATTTTACCGTCACGTTTATGTCCAGTTGGTATTTCATAGCTATTAAAAAAACACAATAATAAAAGTGCAAACAAATAAATTATTTATTGTCGAAAATTATAATAAGACACAGTTTTTGCTAGCTGAGCCCGTATCGCAGCGCACGGGTACACCGTAGAGGAACGAATGCCATGATTTGTACGTGGTTTTTTTTTGTTTTTGTATATTGTTCTGCTTCTGTTTTCTGACTACTGCTGTTATTATTATTATTATTATTAGAAGGTAACATCACGAGCGTGATCCCTTTGTAACGCTTGACTACGAGGCACATGCATTGACGTTCTCTCGTTCTGTTTCTTCGTCTCAGTTTTGATAAGCCCTTCTATAACACTTCGGACCCAGTCTACATACGTTGCTAGTCATGATCAACGCCATTAATCGATTACAGGGATTAATATCTAACTTTGCTACACCTTGAACTTTGTTATAAAGTTGTATTTTTTTTCTCGTATTTACCTCGTCAACACCCAGCGAAATTGATCTTAGCCATCTTTGATTAGATACCTTTTTTAAGGCCTATAGGGTGAAAAAGGGGAAGGCAGAATTGTTGACCGAATCAACGAAGGGGCCAATCAAGCCACGGGTCAACAATGTCTGCTGCTCGGTGACTTCTAATGGCATTAGCTACAAACCCAGGGAGGCAAGGTAATTTTGTTGCGTAAACATAACATTATTAAGAGTATTCATAATTCATAGCGAGGCCGAATCGTTACCTAACAGTGATTTTCTGTTTCCCTTAACCTAACGTTGGAACGCTTCAGGCTTATGCGGCGTGGGCCTGAGTTTCGAAACCGGGCCTGAAACTGTCTTTCTTTTTCATGTTTCTCGATTAACCGCTTGCTGTTGGTGTTGTTTCGTGATCTTTCTGATCGCCATATGTAACTTAATCTACTGGATATCATGAGTTATTCTGTTAACTTGTGGCAATATTTCTCAGCAACTTAACTACAGTATTCTAGTTGATTTGTGTATCTACTTCGATTATTTACTTATCCTGATTCAAATATTTATTACAGGACGCTGGCCGTCCTATCGCTCCGAGACAGGCGTCCTATGATCATTGTATCAAATATTCGATGATATGATACGTGTTATGCTGTTGATTGTGCAATCGCTTACGGTTTTGCTATCCCGAAATAGATATGTCACGTAAATTGTAAACCGGTCGGGA